GTGCAATTCCTGTTCCATTTGTTTTGAATGAATCAAACTCGTCATCTTGCATGAATACACAGTGAGCCATTACAGTCTAAAAATCACAAACGCGTATAGTAATTTTTCTCGTTCCGTTATTAATTCCTTTACAGTATTTTGTAACTGTCATTTCTGCTGTTAAGGGCCACAATGGAAACGAGTTCACTTTGAGCTTTTTGTGCTAATCCTCGGTGTTTTTTTTGTTTTTTTTTGTATTTGTTTTTGTAGATTTGTTTATGTTAAATCGCTGAATAAATGGAAACGAAACGATTCTGTACTATTCATTATATAAAGCAATCCCCCTTTTCAAGAACCCCTTCTGCTTCACAAGACATTTTTCCTCCTGAAGTCGACCAGGGTACCTATGTACACCCCAGCCTTATGGCGCCTATGTGCTCCTTGGACCCACGACTCTGACTATAAACCCCCTTAGATAACCATGGTAAATTCATTCAAATAGTTGCATTTTTTAGAATACAGGGAAAAATTTTATATATTATGCAATCGATCAATTAATCAATTAACTAATCAATCAAACAAATCAATAAAGCTATCAATCAATAAATCGCTTAATTAATCAAGCAAGCAGAAATCAATCAATCGACATAGGGGAGCAGCCAAAGAGGAAAGAGAATTAAATTGAATTTTGATAGTCAGTACAGAAGATTAGGCACGTCTAGGGTGCGGAATATGTTTTGTTAGGCGATAAAATGGCGATGATACATGTACCGTACGGTACTTCTGGAAGAAAAATAGACCAACAGTTGGAAAGGGTTGCAGATAGAGACATGCAAGCTGGTAACAAACTGGATTATAGTACGCAAAACAAAAGATTCATGAACATTTTGGAGACTAATAAACTAACAGGACAATGGAATATTTTATAGCAATGTAAGAGGTTTGGATTTTTTTTTAAGTGGACATAAATATACCAAATAATAGGTAGGGCCATAAGAAAGGTACAATAAGAAAATATAAAAGATTTGACTTTTACCTTATCTGTTAGCAAACCAAACGAATCATAGACGTCTGCGTAACACGTGTGTGTTGGGAAAAGTTTAAGAACACTTTCTTGTTCCCGAACCGTTTCGTTTATGTGAGTCTGTAACATTAATGTTACAATCTTAAAAGCATTTATTTTGCAGGCAGATGAAAGGTAATTAGTTTCATGGTCATAATATTAATTTTATTAATAATTACTTAATTTATATTATTATTTTTTTAAGGCCTATTATTATCATTATTACTACTAATGATATTTAATAGTAACACTAATATTATTATTAATGATAATAATAGTAACACTAATATTATTATTATTATTATTATTATTATTATTATTATTATTATTATTATTATCATTATTATTGGAATACATCCAGTAGGACCGGTAATATAGACTCTGAAATACCTCTTAATAATAGGCCAACCATGTTTGTATTCTTAATACCACGGAACACGTGGGAGACACGGACGATCTACACGACACCTACTTCATCGAGAGACTATTACATAAGGCTACCTTTCAAACAAAACAAATGGCGGGTCTATGCAGAAAACAGAGACAAATTAACTAAAAGCTGGCTTAACAAATGCTGTTTGTGAAAACATTCAAACTTTCTTCTAAAATTGGACCTATACTTTTCTGCAGGCAAGTGTTCATTGCATTAATGTACCAAAGCTAAAGGTTTCAGCTAAAGAGGAACTTCTCTCACTGCGCCCGACAGTCGTCGGCGACGCGAGTATATAGAGAACACAGCGCCACGACGCGCGCGCAACGAATCGTTTTTAATGACGATCCATTCAGACACTACCACCGACAATCAACAGACGGAGCGCAGTCTAGCGCTTACAGGGAGAGGAATTGGATTCGTCGTACGACCGTCGTAATACCGTATAGTAGTACGACGCATGAGTGCTGCCTTAGGTACCCCCACCCCACCCCGGCTTTAATGAATACTGCTCAGACCTGAGGTAATTATCACAAATGGTATTAAGTTTCATTATTAAACGTACTGTACCTGGATTGGTAATCCTCCATATTCTTTAGCTATCTTCCCAAGTGCACTTAAAAGCGACGGCGTGCAATTTACAGCAAATCGAGGAGTAACACAAGGTGTTAGTAGCGAATTGTTAAGGTTTTGCACTGCTTCGATGAACCTGGAATGAATAAGTTATTACCAGTGGTAAAGGTAGAGCCATTGGTATTTTTAGCCTATGGTATCAAAATCAAGTACTGTTGAAAGAAGCGATCGTTGACAAAAAAAAAAAAAAAAAAAAAAAAAAAAATCGAAATTGGTATCAGGTCTATGACGAACACAAGGAAACATGTATACACAGTTAATGATATTAGTAATTAGTTGGCATTTTATAATTTTCGTCAGTACAATTTCGAATTACAAACGCCCCAGGGCGTTTATTGTTGAGAAGGGATTTTGATCGGGCGTTTATATTCGAGGGAGGCATTTTTTGTGTGTAAAATGGATACGATACTCAAATAAACGCCCATATTTCAATGTAAATGTGGGACTACATTATTATTACGTTATATTTAAGTGATCATAAAGTCGTATTTCTCCCAACCAGGTTAGAAAAAAAGTATAATTCTACTGGGGTAGAACATAGAGTAGTTGATAAAGATGTTCCTACCATTAGATTTGTTTGCTGCCAATGGGTGGTTGGGGCGGGGGGCATTTATTCGCAGAAAAAAAATAAACGCTCGTTTATTCGAGGGAGGCGTTTAATCCAATGAGGCTCGAGAGGGGGAGCTTATTCAATGGGGGAGCTTATTAAAATCAGGCGTTTATGCGAATAAATACGGTATCTTACCATCGTGTGTCCCGAATCGAATCTTCGGTAGTCTCTTTGTAATTATTATGAGATGATATGTCCATGCTAACCTTACCAATGTAGGCTCTCTGTCCAAACTCACCTTTAAGAGATAAGGTGAAGTATAACATAGGCATTGAACTGCGTTGAAAGTTGGTCAATCGATAAATAGTTTATCTACATTAACAGTTTAGCGCCACACAATGCAGACATTTGCAAACACACTAAAATATAAAGACTATGACGATGAAAATGATGATGTTGATTAAGATGACGATGCCATTGTTTCCCACAGCCAAAACATT